TAGCGGCATCCTGCCTCCGGCGGGAGCATGCCCGCGAGCAGGCACAGAACGTTCAATACATCATGCCAGGTGACACGAAAACACTGAAACGACCGTACTAACTTCCCCCATCTTTTTTTTCTGGAATGCGGTTCTAGGTCCTGAAGGACAACTCACTAATCTCGTACGACTGGTCGTACGTGGTCGCTTGGGTCGGCGTCGGTTGGTCGTTGGTCAGCGCGATCTTGTTTAGCGCTGCGGCGATTTGCTTGAGGGGCGAGAGAATGCGCGAGGAGGCGATGAACATGCAGTACCTCATGCCTGGTACATATTTAACACCTTTTGCTTTTGCCACGAATACGACGAGCTCGCACGGACTCCTGTTAAGGTCGAGGAACCCTCGCGTGATTCGCGGTTGCTTCGCACATGTGGCGATTCGGTTGGAAAATTATTTTTTCTTTGAAACGTTTACTAAAGGAAGCCGAGGAATTAATTAATGGAATAGCTTTTTAGCTTGAATATGATGCGTGTTTTAGATTGGAAAAAATGTAAATGCACTACAAAGTGGGAGTGGGAATATGCGACGTGACTATGACAATCACGTTGACTTGCAGTTTTCTTTTCGTATCACGTTCTTTCTTTCTTTTTCCTTCTTTTTCTTTTTTTGTTGTAATCGAATGTGGTGACAGATGTCTTGAAATATTTATAGTTATAAGAAAGGAGTCTGCGCGTGCATCGTGTACCACTAACTTTGATTCATGATTACTGGGTTGACCCCGAAAATGACGTTGCTTGGTTTGAAAGTAACGACAGTCGTTCTACTAACTCGAATCGATTCAGATGATACTAGAAGTTTAACGGAAAAAATAGTTGATGTAGAAGCAATAAATCAAGATTTTACGTAAAGTAGAAATCGCCAGACCATGATGTAAGGGAATTATGGCGCTCGAACGCAACAGAACAAAACAAGAGACTGCCGTGTTAAATTAATTATCTATTACGTGTACGAATAGATACTAAAATTTGATGTGTTATACGAAGAAGAGTTATTTCTTAACATGTGCTTGAATAAAAAGAATCGATATACGGTAGATAGAATATTTATATTTAGTTTGGTCGCGATATAAATTAGCAGAGACATTTACGGTTGGTGTGACCGTAACACTTCTTCAATTTTGTCGATAAAACTATAAATAACATACTACGTGGTATCAAAATCATCAGAGAGTGGAACAAAGTTAATTGGAATGAAACGTGAAAATCTCGTTAGAAAAACAAGACTGCATCAAACTTTCAAATATGTCTAAATGTTTAATTATCAATTGCTTCTATATCAACAAATACAGCAATATATTTTCAACTCTAAGATGATTACAATAAAATGGCCATAAATCCCATCTTGGAACGTATCACGGAGAAATAAGAATGAGCAAATGATTACAAGTACAAACATAATGTATAAATGTCAAGTGATTATAGATTTAACAAATGGATCCCTAACTAATCATACTCAGGAAATCAAAGTACTGACAGAGAATGAGACAAATCGTTGCCCGCTTATTTAACATTTTAATCAAATAAATTGACCCCTGTACGAAAATGATATGTTGTACATAAAATACTGATTGACACAAGGTAAAGTTGCTGATTAAAATATAAACCCGTTTATCCTTGGATACCATCGATTGTTAAGCATTCATGCATTGAAAGAACAAGAATACTCGATATTCATCTTCGTGAAACTCTTACTCGTTCGGCTCACGGTCTGTTTCCACCGCGGATTAAAGCAATTTTGTCATGCTCTGATCCTGAAGAAAACTTTCTAGATGAAACGATCTCCATCGATCACCGATTTAAGCGATACTTTGTGTTTCATTCTTCGAATCGTTTCAAGTTTTCTTTTCACTATAAAAAGCAATGTCACTGAGAGTCATCGCTTAGAAGCTATTCATAAACTGCATATTAAAAAGACATTTCGTTGAACCGGTTGTTAATCCTAGTTCTGTTTACGACCAGGACATTTGCATTAACCTTGTAATTTTCTTGATAAAAATCCTAAAAACCGGAAGAAAAGCTACGTAAAGCTACGAGCTATCCATAAGTGTGTTTTAAGTAGCCCCTTGGAAAGCGACACACTTGCCTAATTTTACGCTCGATCCTCTGACGCCTGCTGCTGTCCGAAGATTTCCGCGTTTGCGTATTCATCGGCGTGGACAGTCACTTCGGAATGTAATTTAATTCACGTCCACTATCGCGAAAACGAATAATCAAAAGTACGTTTCGTCTCACGAAACAGAATCAACGTCATTTCTCGATCGATCGTCTCGAACATCCACGGAATACAAACCGTATCTATTTTATCTCATCTTGTTGTCAAGTCGAATAATCGATAATAATATTCGTATCAGAAGAAGTTATTAGCAGAACGGGATTGTAATTATCGAGCGAATTTAAAGTGCAAATTCGTCTGTTAAGGAATCGAGTTCTTAAATCAATCGGAAATGGCATCGTCCAGTCCCGTTTTACCCTCTCATAATAAACGAAAACTGCCAATATAATACCGATTGAAACATTGAAGCGTGGTTCTTAGCATGTTGCTATCTTTCTCTGTTAAGCGATTCAAATCTTTCGGTAACAGTGTCTTTTGCATGCAATCAGGAAAGACTACGTTTTATTCGCGTTTATAACTTCATATGCATCAGAAGAATCAATTAAAATTGAAGGATCTTAACACTTTCATCTATCGATAGTTCAAAACTGATCCTAAAATGAGACACCTTGTATGTTTATCTCTTAAAATTATAGATTTGCGATTTTCAATGACGATATATTCTTGATGGAAGAATGATTATCCGCAGCTAAGAACCACTTCCTGTACGAGAAACGAAACTAATATTTCATTTTTTTCATGGTTTTAGTATATCCTCAGAAGCAACAGTACGCTTATGCAGGCTACCCAGCACCGGCAGCATATCCAGGACCTTACTATCATGGATCGCAGTATGGACCGTACAACTACTGAAGAAATTCCGTGTCATCTCTATCAACAGGGGAAAGAAAGAGTCTAGAGCGCGGAGCGTGAAACGTGCTCGTAGTGAACCTAAATGTAACCTGGCAAGCGATGATTCCCAAAGGGAATGATAAAAAAAAAAAGAAAAACGAAACGAACGAGACAAAAAACGAAGACTCCGAGAGGTCGATCGTAAATCCCAAACCGAGCCTGCGCGAGGAGAAAAATAAAAAGCAAAGAAGGACGACCTTGGGTCCCGCCCTAGGTATAATTTATCATTTGTTTTAAACGATACGTTACGGACGTTCTGGTGCACACCTGCGGGTCCCACGATCTCCGATCTCCGTTTTCTCTTTCGGCAGGTGTCCGTTTGGAACATGATCGCTCGCACGGGAATCAGTTTGACTCGCGAGAGAGACAGTTGCTCAAAAACAATCCGCGTACTTACTTAGAACTGGGATGACCCTATATGCAATAATACTTCTTTTTTCTTTCTCGAATCTAACATTCTTTACTGCATTACTCTTCGTACGTGCTGATCGTGCTAGGACAATAATAATAGTAATGGTAATAGTAACAATAATGAGAAGAGATATGAGCGTGGGAGAGACATACGTAACATAAGTGTTGGTCATTGATTACAAGTTTGATTGGCTACATGATCTTTCTCAGGTGAATGAGGAACGGCATATCGTTCAACATTTATCTCGCAATATCGTGACGTCGAATTTCTAAAAGTACCGTACGACTGATGAGGTTAACCGTCAATCCTTATAGTGCCTTACTTTCAATTACCTTTCATTCTTACTGTAAACCGACAGTATGGAACATTATCATCACCGACAGTATCGTCGAACGCTTCGTTACCTTTGTTCCAGTTCAGGCGAGAAATTTATTAATTATAGGAAGGATATTCGACGATATATAGTTAAGTGAAGCCGAAACTACACTATTCCTTTAAAGTGAAACAGTGTAAACTCGGCTTTAGAGTTAGCAAATCGAGTGGAGGGGCGAATACGTCAAACAAATATTGTGCAAAATTTTTGTTTATTTATGTTCGATCGAGTAGAAATTTCGTCGGCGAAAGAAAAATTCGACAACATGGTGCGAGAGAAATATCCGTTAGTCAAATCGATATAAATGGCAGAAAGCGCAAAATGGGTGCATCGTATCATTCATAGATATCACATTTCATAATAATGATTTGCCTCATCAACTCACTAGACTTTTTAATGTGTAGATTCCCTCTTTTTTATAACGACATATAAGATTTCTTGTTGCGGTATCGTTATGTAAGGTATTAAGAAGTAAAAAATATTTCAATTACTTTATACATGCATATTTTTTGAGTAAATAAATTAAATCAGATTTATACCAATTATAACTTCTTTCAATTGTTACAATTATATTATAAAAGCTAGACGAATGTAGAAAGAAATTAAATTATGTAAGTATACATAACTGTTTGTTTATGTACATTCAAAATCGGACATTTTATTGTACTCAGAAATAAATATTATTAAAAATCCTAACCCTTTATGTATTATAAAAGGTGCAACGTATCATTAAAAGTTATTTAATATATTTGATACGTTATAAACACGTATGAATAATTTTTTTTACTTACCCATGAAATTCCGGCTTAATTTTTCTGTTCCTCTTTTTATTAAAAACGAGACGTTATCCACAGAATCAAACCGGTTTGAAAACACATTATATCTTTAAGGCATGCATATTTTAAAAATTCAAACTGTAAAACTAAAACCATAAATAAATTTCACCACAAGTCTAATTTACTGTAATACACAACGTACAAAAAAATACTCAATAGATAACATTTAGTTTAACATTTATGACGTTTTATATCGTGTATTTATAAAAATTCAAAAAATACGGAAAGAGATTTAGCCGATATGTATACATATGCATTCTACTTGACAAAGTTAACCAATAGCAATCGAGACATCCATTAGTCACGTGTGACGCGAACTAGGTTTCAAAATGGCGACACGAATTAAATTGCCACAATGGCTGCTTTGCGGCATTCAGTTCATTGGAAGTTTGCTACAGAGTACGACGATGATCTACCTTGGTTTGTGTTTTTTTTTAATTTCCATGGGTGTTTTAATCACCGACTCAAATATTATAACACAAACAAGTTTTCGGAATGAAAAGGTATATAATACACAGAACTTGAATATTTTTAACACTCGTTCATTTTTATCAAATGCTTTCACTTTACCTTCTGCGTATTCATTGGCAAAAATCATCTTTCGTAATACACGTCATTGACTATCGTTAACATACATCAGTTACAGTCATGAAATGATTCCAGTACTATCACACGCCAAGTAGCCTATCAAGAAATCAAATAATCACATTGTCAGATCTGTCAAATGTCGATCATATGAACGAAGTTTTAGATAACATATGCGTTGTGAGAATCGTCGGAACACCTGAGCACACGAGAGTAAAAGATGTAAGTTGAAATAGTATTAGTAACACAGGTTTGTAAAAACAAAGTTACTAATTATGATATTAAGAAATAATTGAATGAATGGAACAAGAGAATGAAAAAGCATGAATAAGAAATACATATATACATAAGTAGTATATATGATGCAATTTTTAATAGAAAATTACTCTTATTGATAACAGGATGTATCTTCTTTCTTATAGTACATCAAGAAATCAATGAATGATCTTAATTGGACTGTTCAATCTGACAGCTTTGAAGATCAGACCCCAACTTTTGGACCTTTACGGTTTGAAAATATAGTTGCAAAATTAAATCCCAATGCAAAGAGGTATTTGGCATTAGCTTGCCATTATGACTCAAAGTATACTAGAGAAAGGAACTTTGAAGGTGCTACAGACAGTGCAGTACCATGTGCTCAAATGATTAACTTAGCTAAAGTTATGAAGGATTATTTAAAATCTATAAAAGACGTAAGTATATATTGGATGTAAGTACACATAATTTTTATTTGACTTTTTAAGATCTTTTTTGTGTTTTCAGAATGATATTAGTTTAATGCTTATATTTTTTGATGGTGAAGAGGCTTTTAAAGAGTGGGGTCCAAAAGATTCTATTTATGGTGCAAGGCATTTAGCTGATGTTTGGCACAACAATCATATTAATTATACCCAAGAAGAAAATGTCTCTGAATTAGATAAAATTGTGAGTATTAGTAAATACATACATCTTTATATAAATACTCATTACTTATTTTTCCTGTAGGATTTACTGGTTTTGTTAGATTTAATAGGAGCACCAGATCCAACATTTTACAATTACTTTAGTAACACAGAGAAATGGTACTCTTTATTAATGAGGACTGAAAGTAAATTAGCTTCCTTAAAGAAGTTTGAATCTTATTCTTATGGACAACCTACACAAACATACTTTCAACCATATTCTGTGGAAGCTTATATAGAGGATGATCATATTCCCTTCTTACGTCGAGGTAAATAATTTTTTCATGTACATATATACATGTTATATGTTGCAGATAATTTCTATAACATGTGTATTTCAGATACTCCTATTCTTCATCTAATACCATATCCTTTCCCAAAGGTTTGGCATAAACAAAGTGATAATCGGAATAACATTGATTTAAAAACAACAGAAAATATCAATAAAATTCTAAGAGTTTTTGTAGCTTCATATTTACACATTAATATGTAACGAATTGAAAAATATTTATATCGCTAGAGAAAATTTTATTTTTATTATGACGATATTAAATAACGTTATATAAATATAATATAAAATGTTAGTTAACATATACGAAAATAACAATATTTTATAATAAATTTTAAACAGGAACAAATGAATGAAATTGTTCTAGAGTTAGTTTTCATAGATTTAATAATTTGTACTATAAATGAATTTTGTACTATACGCGACTTTTGTAGGATAAATTATTCTTAACGAATCAATGTAATTTGATGGTACTTAATGCGTCTACTTATGTACGAAACGTATATATTACATATACACGTGTAAATTATGGAACAGAAAGAAGAATATAAATTATTTTATCTTAAATAAAATATGTTCAAATTGGATAAGTGAAATGATTTTAATACAAATGCAAGTACGACATAGATAGAATTACAATTGCAAATGTCATTTTAAATGTGAGTGCGATAAAATGGAAACAACAAATACATACATATACATGTATACATATATATTCATATATATATATTCACCGAGGAAGTGTTTCTACACGTGACTTCCGGATACATGTTAGGAATAAGAATTCAAACATGTCACTGCTAAAATAAAACTTTATTCTCAATCGTTTCTGAAACTTTTAATGGTATGAATATTGCATGATTTGTTAAAATTTGTATAGTTTGTAATATATCTTTAAATATTATCATTTCGCATTAACATATATGAAAATATTAGTTCATCTTTCCTTTGAAAAATGTAACTGGTTCTAAGATTTAACTTTACATTTTTTATTTTATAACTATCTGCGTAATGAATATCAAATTATAAGTTACCTTGTTAAATACTGCATTATTGTAGTTAAAATTTTGAGAAGTAGATTAGCATTGTAAAATATTTTCACGAGCGTAACGGTCAACAATTGAATAAAGTGAAAGTAGGTATTCCATGATGAGGTTTGGCAAGCCTGATCGAGGTCATTGTTCGTGCAGGCGCGCCCGACGAAGACTTTCGTTCCGAATCCGGTCGAACGCAGCCGATTTTAACCGAGTATGGTCGAACGTAACCGAAATATGTGATTGGTGGAAAGCCGACATTACGACGATAGACCCGAAAAAACGAGTAGCGGCTGACACATCGACCAGAGAGACTGGATTCAGTTATCGTCTTACCGTTCATTCGAGAATGTTTTGATTACGTAGAGGTTTACAACGAATAACGCTGACAAATGTTGAAGTTTATCAGAGGGAAGAGCCAACAAACAACAGTCGAACGACAGAAACTGCAAAAGGATCTTTTTGCTTTTCAAAAGGTGAGTCTTTTATAAACCTCATTTTTTAAACTTCGCGGTATTTTCCTTAATACATCGATCGAACGACGGCGGCGTTGGTACATATCAGTGGCGCGGAGACGATGAGCTGCGGAACGCACGGTGGTGAAGGCGGTGACCAGACGCCACAAATGTTTTAATTACGTGGAGGTCCTCGCGGTCTTAACCGAGCCTTTCGCGACGGTAGTGAAACGTCGTGACATTACACGTGAGGATTAACGGTTTTTAACGGACGTGTCGCGCACCGTTCGAGGAACAAACGCCGACAGATGTTGAAGTTTATCAAAGGCCAACAACCTACCGACAGAAACTGCAAGAGAAAGAAACTGCAAAAGGATCTTTTTGCGTTTCGAAAGGTGAGTCCCGATCCAAAGTTTCGCCCACATCCGACCCGGCGAAATGCGCCGACACTTTCTTACTTTCTTAGGCCTTACTTTTATCCGTTACTGAAAGAGATTATTGAAATACATTAGATTCACCTTTGCGACAAAACAATGTTACTATGTATAGGGTATTCAGGTTCGATCATATCGACGTGTTGGCGTTTTCAATGGAAAGCAGAGAATTTTGATGCATCGAGGAAAAGGTGTTTTGCACCGTTTTTTTATTCATAGTGGAGAGAAGTGAGAGTGAATGAGTGAACATTAGGTCAAACTCGTTTTCATTTACATTTAAAGAGTATGGTTTTTACATTGCTTCTTTTCATTCGCTTAATTTCAAAACTTTGAAAAGACATTGCGAATCGTTTAAGCGTTTTTCTTTTTTTTCAATACGCTTTTTAACGTTTTAATCGAGAGAAAATAATGAGTTGACGAATTGAATTTGATAAACGACGTCAGGAAGGTTAATTTTATCAGTCATCTATCTTCTTAAAACAAACCGATCTTTTTCACATCTTATTTACACATTCATTATTTATAAGTCAACAGGTTTGCAATTGAAAGTTTATTCTGTTACCATGTCAGATAGTAATCTCCAGTTTCTTGATAGCACGATATTGATACGTTATGCGTTTTTCAGAACACAAGTTCCTTTTACGCGTAAACTACTTAATCGTTTTAAAGATAAATCTTGTCTTGAAGAAGAAAGGAAAAAAGAAAAGGTAAAAAGATGCTGAATATTACGACTCGAGAAGATTGATAAATATATGTGCCATGATATAAATCGTACATAATCGGAAGAAAAACCTTGTTCCGAATTTATACCCGATAAAGAGGAATCAAATGAATTCGACTTTAATTTCGGTTTATCGAGCGCACGCGTTTAACACGCGATAAAGCGCGCCAGGATTTGTCGTTTCTCATAGGTTATTGACGGTTACGAGTGATTGCTACACAATCAACTACCAATACCACCCTATGTATTAAACGAACAACTTATAAGTACGATAGAGCAAGCATTATAATTTACCTCAAAAGTTACTAAATAGATTTTGTATCCATATCATATTCAAATCATATTGTATAAATCATATTCCAAGATTTATCGTTTCTTATTTATTACTGGCGGTTAGGGCTGCTATATGTAACAAAACACAGCTTCCATATTATTAAATAAACAGTTTGTTTGTTATTTTGAATCGAGCGTTATAATCGTGACACGACATACAGCAAGCAATTAACTTTAAAATTCGACTAATTTCGTTTCTTTCTTCTTCGTTCTTCCCTCTAAGTATGTAATTATTGAATCGATTTTGTTGAAATAAAGAGCGCTTGTCGCTCTGTATTGATTTGAAAGAAGCATTGCGAAATGCGTTTGATCAGCAACACACCACTATTCGAAGGCTACCACCTTTGAAAGGCTGGTTTCATGGAGGAATATTAAGATTTTAAAATTGTCTTCGTCCAAGAATATGATATAGCGTGATTTAAGAATGAACGGTACAGAATCAACAGGTCGATATCTGAACGTAATCGATACCGAAAGTCTAGAAGACGACGGGTGGCCGAGATACGATGCCTAGAGTCAGGATTATTGTGGTCATGTGTGCGGTGTGATGCGTTTCTTTAGCGGTTGTCTCGACTGACTGTCATCATCACTGGCCATCGGGTGCACTGTCGCGAAACCTTATCGCTGTTTAATTCTCGGCCTGCTGGATTCGAAGTTTGGCGATAATAGTCGCACGAATACAATCAGTTCGTGCCGGTTCCGATCGATGCTTCATGCAAGATGATTTTTATGCGATATTTTATTCGCTATCGAAAATTGTTATTCGTATCGTTTACCATTTGTTAGGAAAGACAATAAAGCGACTTTATGTTACGGTCAAATGTCGTTAATTATTAACTTGTTCGTCATTTAAGAATTTTTTAGCAGGTCAGCCTGTGGCTAACACACACACTTAAAAATCCCATTTATTATAGGTAAGGTTATTGTTCCTTACCATTAATTTTAGCAAAATATCATAAAGTTATATTCCAGAAAGTCTTTTTCGAATTCACATTCTCAATACCGAACCACGCTAGTGGTACTCAGTAATCCAGAATGCCAATTCTTCGACCTGGCAGAATTTTCCATTGTGTTGTCAAACTTCCATCCACCATTGATCAGGTTCTTCGAAAACCCAACTTAACTCAGGTTAACGATAACTCAGGATTGGTCATCTTTAGGAATAAGTTTACAGCCAGTCAGTTATATTATTTCTCGTTCGTTATAATTTAACAGATCTTTAACAGGACGAAATAAAAAGTTAAAGGGAATAGTACTAGTCTCCAATATGATCCTTTGAATAGTTTTGTTAATCCGCACACACGTGTAAATACCAAAAAACTTGAAAAATCACAATGGATTACGCGCTGTATCAAACACCATTTAACCCTGTTGTTCTCGTCGCTTATCTTAATTCATTGTTCTAAGTATCAATTGTCACTCTTTTTTGACAGATAATAAACATACATAACAGAAAATTTTCAATAAAAATTAGACACAATTTATGTCCATCATATCTATGGTTAGAATCGAAATTGCGCATAGTCCTTGTTTCTTTCATTCCGCTTTTTATATGACGCAGGGTACGGTACGAATTCGAATTAGACAATAGGAACGTTCCGTCCATTCTAAACGCGTGTATTTACTACGTGTAGCTTACTTTCGTTCGGTCAGGAAATGAAATAGGAAATGTAGGTTAATCTGTCGGTTAAGCAATTACAGGTAGAAGTAGCGCGCTCTGCGCGGTAAGATGTACGAGTTGGAAAAAAAGTAGAAAGCCCTCGCGGCGTGGAGGGTGCCTGTTGCCTTAATTAAAGCAGTCACATTTACGCAAACCCAGCGTTTACGGAGCAGTTTGGTCCGATCGAAACTCGAATAACATCTGATTATATTACATCACCGAATGATGCCATTTTATCGCTTAATTGGAAAAAGGCGTGGAACGACAAGATAACCAAATGGAATCACCTTGGAATCTTTAAAACTTGGCAAACGATCTTGAAGGAAGGAAGAAGCAATAGATTTTTCGTCAATTTTGTTTTAGATCTTTTAATATATGTTTGGAAGTGGATTGATTTTACTAATCTCATCGAGGAGTTACTTTGAGGGACAAACAATCAACGTTTGGTTTTTAATATCGATTCTATCAATAATACCACGTATTCGTTGTAGAGAAGAGATACGAGGAAAGGATATTATCGGTTTTCTGTGCAAACAAATACGTGATAAGGTGCCTAGCCCTTTTTACGTTTACTTTAATATACGCAGACGAATGTGCCGTTAGTCTGACCTGACTAGGTTAGGTACAGACTGATATCCGTGGATTATTTCGAGAATTTTTTAATGTAGATTAGAACTAACTGATGAGTGATTAAATGAATATAGATGTGGTATTATTATCATCTAAAATTTAAATTCGCCAACGTTTATCATAAATGTATAATGTATAACAAATAGAGAAATATTTGTTGTTCTTCGGCAATATTTAATAAATGTTCCTGGTAAATTATTTAAATGATACATTACGTAAAAATGTGAATAATTTTCCTTTCAAAATATGTTCATTTGTTTGTTAAGTATGAAATATATCACGAATTCTGTAATGTTCCGAACATT